ATTCTCCAGCCCCTTCCCATCTCCATTCCCTTCCCTGGACACAATTTCCCTGCACCTTTCCATTTTGGAATCACCCCCCTGTAATGCCCCAGTGACTGAGCCAGTCCCTGTTCCTGATGTCCTGGTGCTGTCCCTGCAGGTACTATGGGAGGAGGATGCTCTTCATCATGATGGCTCATCCTGACTTGGATAAAACACTGGAGAAGTTTGTGCCAGCCAAGGATTTGCCTTACATTAAGGAAACTGTTGGCATCCTAAGAGAAAAGGTGTGTGGGAAAGCTCTTGTGGAACACCTGGGCCAGGTGGATGTTCCTGGGGGCTGTTGGGTGTGGACAATTCCAGCACTGCAGCCACAATTCCCTTGAATTGTTGTCTTGTTCCATGAATTCCTGCTGTGCCTTTGTGCAGGGCCTGGGGGAGATGCCCTTGGACACACCCTCAGCCAAAGGAAGGCGTTCCCAGACTGGAACTGTTGGACATTTGAGGTCATCCTCTACTTGCAGAGATGCTCCCATCATCCCAGACAGGTAATGAGCTCCAGTGCTTATCCTGTAAGGAACCTGGCCAAGGAGGGAGCACAGAAACAGCCACACAGGGCTGGCAAAGTTCAACATTCCTGACCTGTTCCAGAGGAGCTCTTTAACACAGTGACCAGTTATACTAAAATGGCTTTGTGCATTTTGAAGTTTATTTGTCAATTGAACATCTATGAAATACAAACTGTACACAAAACACCTGGAATTCACAGCATGGAACCACAGAGTCATGGGATGGTTTGGGTTGGAAGGGGCCTCAAAGCCCACCCAGAGCCACCCCTGCCATGGCAGGGCCACCTCCCACTGTCCCAGGCTGCTCCAAGCCCCAGTGTCCAACCTGGACACTTCCAGGGACCCAGGGCAGCCAGCTCTGGGCAATGCAGATCCAATGGATCCATGTCAGCACCATCCCAGATGTTGCTGTTCAGACTCATGGAAAAACCATTCCTGGTTGGAGCCACAGCACAAATTATTCACTTGTACACAGCTGCAGACACCAAGGACTTAGTTAGACCCTGACTGGGGATGCTGCAGGGTTTAGATCATACTCTGACCACTTTTAGTTTTGTTTTATCTTCTTACAGGTTTTATATTGACCTTTTTTAGGTCTTGGAGATACAGTAGCAATTTTTGTGCTCAGATGGATGTGAACATAATGACATTTTGGATTACCCCAGGACATTCCACCCATTATTCCATATCATGTGATTGATGCCCAAATGAGCACATTTGAACTTTAAACACACATATCTATACATTGTACATGTCACTGTACACAAGTACAGTTATTTCAGTGCTCCCTGCCCACCCAGGATATCCCAGGTAGGTCCCTGGGGCCATGACTGGAGCAGCCCTTGTAGTTAAATGGTGCTGTGGCAGTGACATTCAGCAGCCAGAGGTTCCAAGCCAGGCACTCCACCATGACAGGAATGATGTACCCCAAATCAAAGGTACACAACACATTTCTGCATCCCCCACCAGGAGCAGCCAGGCCCCTGAGCAAACCCCCATGGATGGGTTTGTCTTTGCTCAAGGCAGGATTAATCCTTTCCTACCATCCCCTCACGTGCACCACAGGGCTCCCCACAGTTATAGAGACCCCAGGGCTCCCACTTGGCCTTGATGGAGCTCACATTCCATGGGTCAGTCATGGATGGCCTGGGATAGTGTCCATGGTGGAGGCCACTCCTTGCTCCCATCTCTTCCCCTGTGACCTGAGCCCCCATGGGCCCAGCAGGGTGGAAATACCTGTCCCTTGTTTGCAGTGCAGATCCACCCATGGCACTGCACTCTTGCAGCCTGATGCAGCTGCAGGATCCAGCAGTGCTGTGATTTAGCCATGGCACTGCACTCTTGCAGCCTGATGCAGCTGCAGGATCCAGCAGTGCTGTGATTTAGCCATGGCACTGCACTCTTGCAGCCTGATGCAGCTCTCCATTGTTGTGCTGCTCCTCACCAGCCCAGCTCCCAGGCACAGGAGGGACTTTCACTCTCTCCCTGCCATTCTTCAGCAGCCAGAACCAGTTTCCCTCTGTGCTGCCCTTTTTCCATCTTTCAGCCACTCTCACAGACCAGTGCAGGGGGAGGTGTTGCCACTTTTCTTGCTCAGGGGTGTCCAGAGCCAGCTGGAGGCTTCCAGCTCTGCAGCCTGCCTGGATCCAGCTTGTCCTTGAGCAGTTTCCATGACTCCCCATGAGGGCTCCATAGAGCTGCTTCCCATTTCCCACTGGTTCCATCAGTGAGGAGAGAGTGTCACCTCCCACCCTCTGCTGCCTGTTCCCAATCAATCCCTTTATGCCAGTGAGGAATGAGATATGAGGAGATATAAGTGAAAAAATAATAGTTTATTAACAGAATGCCAACGGGCAGGAGGAAAAAATGTAAATAACTGCTAGATAGCAAAGTGTTAAATCTCATGAACTCCCCAGGAAAAAGAAGAGACCCAAAATGCTGGAAATACCCTTTGATATGAGACCGAAAATGCTGGAAATACCCTTTTATATCAGACCCAAAATGCTGGAAATACCCTTTGATATCAGACCCAAAATGCTAGAAATACCCATTGCTATCAGGGGTGTGGAGCTGCTCTGCTCCTGCTGGGATTCCTCAGCTGTGGACAGGCACCCACAGAATTCATCCTAAAGGCAGCTCAAACCTGCTCACTGCAGTCCCTCCAAGCTGAGGGAAACACCAAAAATGAAAAGAGAACCCAAAAAGGGAAGAAAAAACCTTCTGCCTGAGCAAAGACCAAGCAACTGCAAAGCCAACACCACACAGAGAAATCCCCAAAGTGCCTGGGTGGGAGGATTTACAAACACCCAGGACAGCACCACACACACACACAGGGTCCCTGAGATAGGTCAGGAATACAAAACCACCATGGATCACCCCAGGACACTTCACTTTTCATCCCTGGCAGGGTGGGCAGGGCTGGCACAGGGTGCCCAGAGCAGCTGTGGCTGCCCCTGGATCCCTGGCAGTGCCCAAGGCCAGGTTGGACATTGGGACAGTGGGAGGTGTCCCTGCCATGGCAAGGGTGACACTGGGGGGGATTTAAGGTCCCTCCAACCCAAACCATTCCATGGTTTGTGATTCAATGAACTGTAAAAGAAGCACCACTAAATTTACAGCAAACCAAAAACTGAATCCAAGAACTCAGAGTTCAGACTGCAGTGTCTCTTCAGGACCAGATTCCTTTAACACACCCTCCACAGTTCAAAATTATAACTGATTCTACATTTACTGATACATTTGGATTGCTTATTCCATTCCCCATCCAAGCCTTGTGTTCAGGAATTAGGAGTGAGGTAATGACTGCCTGGATGGTCTGGAGGTGATTCCACAGGTTGTAGAATTCTTTCCATGACTCTCTAAGGAGATCAGGTGGGTGCCACAGGAAATTTGTTTCTAAATATTGTAGGAAGAGCTGTTGGGTTTTCACCTCAGCATGGAGTGTAGCTGAGGTAACACCTGCTCTGTGCTCAGACTTTAAAGCTCTCTGGGAATAAAGAATTAAACTACAGAAAGTTTTGGGGGGGTTGTGACCCATTGATGTAAGGGAAGTTCCCAATTGTTCCTGGTCACAAAACCAGCTGCATTTGGAGCAGGATGGATGTAAGACTTTGAGTACAACAATTACTATTAGGTGTTGGTAACAGCAGTGGGAGTTTGGCATCACTTTATGGTTTTAGTCTTTTTTGTCTTTACTCAGAGCTAGGAGTAAAAAATACACGAAGGAAATGGATTTTTTTGTGTTCAGGCTTGGTTGTTTATTAAATTTTATTAAAAGTACGGAAAGTTCAGCAGCACTTCCAGCCACCTGCTAGAAATGAGGAAAAATGGAGGAAGATCCAGCTGCTACAAGGT